TCTCGGCCGTTGCATAGGCGAGTGCGATTATGGCATCCGCCATACTCGGAGGCATTGGTGGAGGATTTGGGACTTCATCATTGTCTTTATGAAGTACCGGCACCGATTCGGGTGTTAATGCGAGGCATCTGTCGCCGAGAGACATGTTTATTTACATTATTATTTTATTGAAAGCAGTTAAAAGGTTTCATGCTACAAAGGGTTTCTTATTTATGTTACATGTCTTGTATCCCACAAGACAACCCTGGTTTACTAGGAAAGCAGTAAAGGAACTATTACTACTCCGAGCTTTCAGTCATCGGCATCCGTGCCCATATCGGACGAAATCTCATCTTCATCTGAGAAGTACACTAACTCCTCAGGATCCTCCTCCTCTTCATCATTCTCGACTTCTCCTAGATCTACTATCATTTCTTCATCTGTAACTTCACCATCCCCATGAGGAGGATGAAGTTGAGCGTACATCATGTGGACATTCTCATGAAGAATGGCATTGTTCATCGCCAGATCTTCTACGTAGAACTCCAACTCATGGATGCGTTCATTGGCCGCATCCTCTCATGTCCAGGCTTCATTCCTCAACTCGGTATTCTTGTTGATGTCCCTTTCCATTTCCACCAGCTTCTCTTGATCTTTGGCATGAGCTCGACGAAGAGTGTTGAGCTCCTTGATAAGGTTCTCAATGTTGGCGGGATTGCTTGAAGATTCTTCATCTCCTAGGGTCTTGGAACTTCCTTCACCAAGCTCACGGTTACGTGGTGCCAACTGGTGACGAGGGACTCCGTGAGGTCCAGTGGACTTGCGTGCGGTTATCTTGGTCTTTGCCATAGCCTGTAGAATTTAGGAGAGGACTATAAGGATAGCTTGAGGATAATGGAGGTTAGCAAGAATAGGATTGACATTACTTACCCAACCACTTTTAAGGGGAATTATTATGTAAGGTGTTCAAGCATGATGCATGAATCGATCTTACGAATCCGAGTACAAAAGATTTATACAATCAAAAGTACTAGATTTTTAATACATAGGACAAACCTAATCATATTATCCGCCACAAACTTTCAAATAAGATAAGATTGAGGCTAGATCAGAGGTAAGAAGAAAGAAATTTGAACACAAAATATCCAGTTTAATTTATTTGATCCAAATTAGTTTGAAGGTTTTCAAAAGAAACCTACAATGATCTTAGATAGGACCTGCTCTGATACCAGCTGTGGCAGAACCTACTAAGAAATCGGGCCCACGTGCACCTATCGATGTCTCAACAGACCTCAGATAGCGTACACAAGTTCCCAACAACTTAACAGATCTATCGGGTGTCCTCAGGAAACCCGAATCATCCACGAATCTTTTCCAAACAGGATCCAAATCACAGTCATTGTAGATTACAACAGTTTTCAATATACATACCAGAGATTATAAAGCGGAAGACTTAAGTTTTAATATTACAAACCAGTTGTTTCAAACTTACATAACCATAAGTGTCATACAACCATAGTAGCGGGATAATATTACATTAACATTATTTATTTCACACAAACTAGTGTCGTGTCCAAAGGCCATTAATCATTCCTCATCGTCATCGACTTCAAACACTGACATGCAGCAGGGACCAAAACAAGCCTGCGCATGTGACTCACCTGCAACAAGGGTTAACAAACCCTGAGTACAAAAGTACTCAACAAGACTGACCCGACGAAAAAGGGCGAAGGTATTAGGGATGCAGGTGTTGGGTCAAGGTAAGGATGTAGAAAGATTCAAAAGTTCTTTGCCAAAAGCTTACTATTCTTGATCCTAGTTTCAAGTTTTACCCCTAAGTACTTTAGTTCAATATCTCCAACTAAGTGTTCATATCCCATGTTCCAATCCTTCTCATTCCATTCTTTTTCTCATGTTTTAGTAATTCACCAGTCCTGCATTGCTTCTATAATGAATCGAGTCTCCATATCCGCGGAGCACCGGCAATTCGAATTGATTCAAGTCCCAGCTAGGGATTCCTTATCACACGACATATGTAGAACTTAATCTTGCATATATCAACCTCGCTACCGGATCCTCCCGTACTAAGCCATCTCCACGCCACCCGAGAGCACAGCACACCTCAAATCCGGCCACATTCAACCCACGAGGGTATACCGTGGCCTACAAAAATCATTGAAATTGCATTTATTAATTAATAGACTGAATATTTGAACATTAAAAATTTATTCAAATTTCAAGTTTCAAATTTTTAAACCATACTAGAGCATGTACAGAAGCTACACAAAATTTTTCAGAATTTTTGGAGCTATGATTATTTTTCTACAAATTTCCAAAGATTCAACACTATTCAAAAATCAGAAAATATAAAATTTCACTGTTCTTCTCTTTCCTTCTCACTGACAGCCTGACCCCACCCGTCAGTGACCCATACATGTCACGGCGGCGCTGCCATCACTGGTCGGCCCCAAAATGCGTCGACGGTGACGCTCCGGCGAGGCAGACCTCACCCAAATAATCTACACACCCCTACGAACCCATCCCCGTCCTTGGAATAGCAGAAGGTGCACCGGAGAAGACTCCACGCCGGCCATGGCGGCTCGAGCACGTCGGCTCACGGCGTAACCCCGGCAAGAATGCGGTAGAGTCAAAAGCGAAGTGCACATCACGTTCAGTAGCTCACCACGGTCACGTCGGTGGGCTTGGTGAAGGCGGAGACGGTCTGGAATGGCCTTGCCACGTCGAGGCGATGGTGGCGGAGCTTCGGCCGGGCTCGGGGAAGAAGCTGTTGCGCCGGGCGACTCCGGCCAACTCAAGCGGCGTGAGCAAGTCGTAGAGAAGCGCAAGACTGAGGCGATCGCTTTGGCATAGCTGGGCATGACGGAGACTGCTCGACGGTGGCTAATTTCGCGAGCGCAGTGAGGTCGTTGGCGGTGAGCAGTGGCAGGAAAAGAGGAGAGGGACGACGACGGTATGGCTATTTATAGCCGGGAGGAGCTCGTCTGGCTTCGACAGCACACGACGAAGATGCCACGGCGATGATGATTTGCTAGGGCGCGAGGAAGCGGCGCAAAACGCTCGGCAGCGGCGGCGGCGTGGCGCCGGCAGTAAGCGGTGATGTAAATCTTGATTTTTGAATTATTTACAGAACTGCCACTGAGTCTATTTTTCAAATTACTCCCAAATTTTCTAAAGAAGTTGAAAATCTCCAAAAATGAAAGTTGCTCAACTTTTTAAACTCTACAACTTTGCTTCAAGGAACATTTTCAAATTCTGCCTCTATTTTGAAATTTGAATTTAGGGTGCATTTGAGTATTTGAATCATTTCAAAATTACTCCAAATTTTATATGTAAACTTGAAAAACTTTGAATACCAAAGTTGATCCACATAATATAATCTTCAACTTTGCTTTTTGCCTCAACCCCAAATTCCACATGGATTTTGAATTAGTCAAAAGGGGCAAAAAGGACTTTTTATAATTTGAATTTGAATTCAAATTTGATTTGTCTTTCTTTTACTTTAACTTTGATTTTTGACCAGTAACATGGCCCATTAAGGTTATTTGAGTCAAATGACATATGACCTCACATGATCACATGAATTTTGACCCTTGTAGTCATGATCTTTATTTAGGATTTTGAAACACATCACATGAAATAACAATATTATGAAATAAACCTTATTTAGTGAATGCATTCAAAATTTTCTACTCTATGAATGCTTTGCAATGCATATGATGACATGTCAAATTTTAGTGCTAGGTCAAAACACCAGAGGTGTTACACCGGACGCGTCCGGTGGGTGCTGACTGGACGCAGGCCAGAGTCCGGTCAGAGCAAACGGCTCTTTCTGACACGCTGACGCGTTACACTGATCGGTGCGTCTGGTCTCCTTGACCGGAGCGTCTGGTCATCCCGATACTTGCTGACTTGGATCTCAACCGTTATGTTTTGAATAGGGGGTATAAAAATATATCCCACTCATCCATTTGAGGTCTCTTGCCCATTTGTTCAGCTGAGAAACACCTTTAGAGTGCAAGGGAGCAAGAACCTAATAGGGTGATTGAGATTTGATAATATAAGATTAAGAACCTCATTAGTGCATAGAGAGTGGCAAGTATACATCCACCTTATTCATTAGATTTGTCTTGGTCAAGTTAGCGTTTGTGCTTGTTACTCTTAGTGATCGCCATCACCTAGACGGCTCGATAGTGATTGAGAGCTTGGTGATTATCCGACGGAGCTTATAGATGACCCAAGTCATTTTATGAGCGGTTATAGACGATTCACCACGACGAAGTGTCAAAAAATCAATGTGTAGAGAGCACTTGATCCTTGCACGGATAAAGGAGAGCTACACCCTTGTGCGGGTGCTCCAATAAGAACTAGTAAAGAGTGACGACTCTCCGATACTTCGAAAAAACATCGTCGTGTTCCTTTCCCTCTCTTTATTTTGAGCATTTACATTTAAGCAATTCATTTTATGTTTTTACATACCTAAAATTGCCGTACTATAGTAGGATTAAAACCTAGAATGCAAAACTTTTGTACGGAAGAACAATAGAAACACATTCTAGACATATGGGGTAAAATAGGCTAAGTATAGAGCTTAATTATTGTATAAATTGAAATAATTAGCCCAATTCACCTCTCTCTTAGGCATCTTGATCATTTCACTGTACACACAGTTACAAGAGCAAGTTGTGCAGCAACATTTCAACAACAGATTAAATAACATTGTTGGGCCCCTTACATTCCCATTTTCTGCCTAACCTACTGACTAATGACATTTGCCTGAAAAGGCCAATGCACATTGGGTTACTGTATATACACGCGTGCGCATTAGTTGAATACATGCAACAAGGTGTCGAAGCATTATACAGAAAAGCTGGACATAGCAATGAGAAGGATTTCCTCTCCTCCAAATGAATAATCAAATGAGAGAGCATGATATGAATACTGACCCTAAATGTCAAGATTAGACAAAAAAGATCTACTCTTTCACCTACACTGCAATAATTTTACAACTGCTGTGAAAAAAGATGACCAAGCCACATCTGATCAAGAAATGCTAGCCCCACGATAGCCCATACACTTTCAAGCTTCCACTGAGGCTGCTGCTTATCAAGGAGCTTTCTTGCCTTTCCATCAGATCCACTGAGCTCACAACTCAGGTGGTCACAAATGGGCTCTCCAAGGGCCAATTTTGCACCTATGGCAAAACAATTGCTCAGGGCTTCACAAATTCCATACCTGTGCCAGTGGCATTAAAGCACTATGTGCATATGAAAAACCGCTTCAACCTTCAGGTGAGGGGGGCCTGTGACCGTATGGCACATAAAAAGAGGTCTCCTGGTCAATTGGTGTCCGGAGAAGAGGATTCCATCGATCAAAGATGATGCGGCCGCCTCGTCCAATCCTACCTCGACACCGAAATGGTGGTGATGCGGCACCATTCTCAATAGGAGGATCTGGTGGTGGCTTGATACCTGCTGCAACCAACTTCTCCGGGTCAAGTGGTCTTGTGAATAAGAATACTGGCTCCTCAGGATCCTGTATTTGAAGAAGCTGGTAAATAAACTTGACAAGGGGACTAAAGCAACTAGAGTATTTACCGATCTACACCAAGTTCCATTCCAATTAACAATTGCACACTAGATGATAGTGGTGCCCTCGCATTCAAATGCTCAATGTCCTAGAGGGCAACAAAAGATTAATTTGCAAAAAGAAAAATCCGGACGTCCACTAGAGAATCCTCTATCTGGCCAGTTTCTCACTGGATTCCAGTCAGGTGTTTTCTGTTTTATACTTTATGTGTTTGCTCAAGTTCCATATCTTTCTGGAACAAAATAACAAAATTAGATTGTAAACAAATTGAAACAGAACTTAATAGCTTTCTTGATTATGCTGGTTAAAATCATTGGGGTAGTGGGGTTAGCATGAAACACATGTTTAACACCATTTTTTTGGGTAGTGACCGATATGACAAGGATAAGAGGGGGGAGACTGAGAGACACCATACCCTTTTAAATGCCCAGCCATTCTGCTGGGGCCTCCTTTTAAGTTCTCGTTCACGCTTTATGCGAAGTGGAGGGATCATAGATAGCTTGTTAGCAGGGAACCTAGGATGGAAAACAGCTGGACGTATATATGGCTGTTCAGTTGTGGTGTCATCTGAATCCGCATAATCATCATCACTAGATTCAAATCTGCTAGAAGTTTGCTGGAAGCCAGACAAGGTAGTCCCATCCTCAACAAGCTGGGCCTCATGCTGAACCAGAAAAAAGATGTAGTGAGGCAACAAGAATCTAATGTACCACTGTACCCAGAGTTAGAAAGCTAATAGACTAGGGCATAAAAAAGAAGTGGACTTTAACTAGAATCTTAAATCTGGACAGAACATAATATCACTCATTGATAAATCCTTAATCATGAGTAGTGGACCATAATATAAGAAAAATGTATTTAATGAATTTACCCAGACACTTCTGCTCCCACGTGTAAAATTATAGAAGTGAAGCTAGCCTTTTATGTCCATTCATGGAACCAAGTACCAGCAGTCCTCAACATGACTGTAACTAGAGTGTTGATGATTTTTTAAGCTATGATATAGTGCCTAATTGTAGTTCTGTGATTATAAACATAAATATTGCCATGGCATCTGGGTGGGCAAGGTCCTGGCATAGCGAATATAGCAGGTAGTTGTGGCTTGTAGGTGGGTGAGGTCATGGGATTGCAAATATAACAGGTGAATGCAACCAAATAATAAGTATCCAAGGTGCCTCATGATGCTGTCCCCATTTTATGTGCCACCCCGTGTGGTATGGTAGACCAAGGCATACAGTAAAGCATCAAGTGATTTAAGCTTCACATACAATCGATATATGTATCAGTAGCACAGAAGGATATGTAATTCATCATTATTATTTTTATTTTGGGGGGGGCAGTGGATACCTTATATTTCATCTGAACGCGTTGCAGGTTAACTTGGCATTCCATGGCCTCCCGCTTTGTCTCTTCCCTCTGTAAACCATGTGTTATTAACTATATCTACAGAAGTGTTGTTTACCAATTCTAAGAAATACTACAAGGCAGTCCATGCATGAACTAACCTTAATCAAAGCATCCATCAGTGCTTTTGCTTGCTCCAAGTTACGTCGCACCTGATATAAAATTTTTCAAGACGGCATCATAAGCAGTAAAAAGCACAAATATCGTAGCACCATGCAAAATCTTTTAAGTTTCGGCCTATATCAAGACATGCAAAACAATGGTTTTACAGATTTTAAATATGTATGCATTCACTCCTTAACTTCACAACTGCATCACATAAAATAAAGGTACTACAAAAACTACTGCAGATATACAAAGGGAATTCTCCATGCAGGCATAGTTCCTAAACTAAATGTCATTAGCCAATTCAAGAAAGGGAATATAGTTCCTAAACTAAACATAATTATCAGACTATTGTTAGCAATAACTGTGCATTATTATGAAAACTAGGATTATTTTTTTCCTTTTGAACATCTTTGCACAAGTTCTGTTAAAAAACGAACAAGAAAAGCTCCATGTGGCATCAACACAAAAGGACGGCTAAAGAACTAGATCACAGCTAATTAGTGAGCACCTAGAAACAAAAATTATAACTGAAGAAAGCAATTAATGAAATTCATGGAGAAGTAATCAGGTGTTGATTCAACAAATTTAGGGATGTAATAATATAGACATCAGGTTCCATAGTGTCAAAATATCCAACTTACATTTTCTGCAGTTAGAAAATAGGATTACTGCTTTCTTTATGTACTCCCTCTGTCCCAAAATATAAGGCATGCACATACTTAAAAAGTGAAACTTCGTTATCTCTGACCAAAAATTAGTCTAATATGAAAAGTTTGTGCTGCGAAAGTGATTACATTGGATTTGTATTTAGAAATACTTTCTAATGATCAAACTTTTGCTCTACAAATAATTTAGGAAAAATTAGTGGTCAAAGTGTAATCTTGAAGTCAACACCAAGTCAAATCACGCCTTATATTTTCATACGGAGGGAATATCAATGCAACATTAATATGATTCACTGATGTAATAACCAGAAGAAAACAATTGCTGCTTACCAGACGGAGTTTTTCGAATGATTGGATATTGTTTTCCCTTCTTTGCATCTGGAAAAGGCAGCAAGAATTATGTAACTAAAGGGAAAAGCATCACTCATGTTTGAAGGGGGGAAAAGCATGATACCAGAAGGTAAAATTCAAAAAGGGGAAAATTGAGCTTCTCTATTAATGGCTCCAGCCATAAATTAAATCACTGGTCACAAGCCACCTACCCTTCTTGTATGAAGACGATGGGCCTTTTCTCTTGGTCTGAAGACATTGTATGGATTTGTATCATTCACTGGTGGAGGCGGCTGCAAAACAACAGTCAATTAGTTAAAGTAATGCAACCAAAAACATACTATAACATCCTAACTTGATAAACCAAAACAAAGCACAAAGATTTGTCATAAATTGTAACGTTTGCTTATGGTTTGGCCGTATGGGTGAATTTCATCAATTTTTATTTCCTCAAAGCACTCCATGAGTTTCATTAATTCCTTCGAAGAAAAGGTGTGCTACAATTTATAACTCATTTGGGATGCCAAAAAGAATAACCAAGTTGCGAACATCACTAATAAGGACCAGACAGATCTACCTAAACTACAGGAGTCGGCACTTTGCAAGCCAAACATAAGCTGCCTTTTAGGACTCCCATTCAAGCAAAGATTTAATCCAACATCTGCACTGCTATAATGCTGTTACAACATGTGATTTCAATTTCATCAAGAAAACTAGAAGTTTGTCACACAGATGTATTATGAACGCATACGCTTGTCAATTCAGTAAATAAAAAAGATTAAAAGAGGGACCACTCATCGTAGGGTTTCAAACCAGTTTCTCGTGTAGTGCGACTCCACATAACACTCTGACGGCCATGCACACTACACAATTTAACACAATTATTGCCACGGCTGCTGACAAGAATTACAGAGTATAATTGCAATGTCACGTTCATGGGTTTTGACTTTTGAGACGTCGCCTAGGCGTTGAGGCGCATCCCAGGCGTCACAGGACACCACAAGGTTTTAGTTACGCCGTATTGCCTTGGCGTAACCGCAGCACCACAAGACACCACAACGCCTCAAAAAACATGGTCACATGACACACTATATTTCACAAACAAATATCATGTTTCACAACTGGAATCTGGAATAATTGCACAGAACACTAATTTACATCGGACTCAAGAAATATCATTCATAAACAGAAGAGTGCTTAAACACAAAAGGAAATTCATGAAAAGTTGAGATAAATTACTAAGATACCGAAGAAATAAGCTAACCTGCAAACGCCGAAGAATAGGCTTTTGCCATCGCTCCCTCTGATAAATAAAAGATACAAGATAAAAGAGTTACAAGCCAAGTTTCTTATTTAAAGGCTAACCAAGATAAGAAGGGTTCAGACATGGAAAATATATAGCGAAAACAAGATATGAAAGTCAAACACAGAAACTCATGCTACAAAAACTAAAAGAGGAACATTGCTTGTACTAAGAAATCATTATGCTGCATCTTAAAAGTAAAAGATACCTTTGCTTTCCAGTAATTATATACAGCTTGGAAAACAGCATATCGAACAGACAGGTACTGCAAAGCCTATAGAGAAAGCACTTGGTCAGTAACTGTTCAAACTGAAAGAGAACAGATTGATAATGTAACCCTCCCTAAGAATCTAGAGACAAAAAAGAACTGAAGAATAATCATATCACCTGCAGATTTATGACAAACTATTCTCATTTTAACTTAATATCCACAAACATTAGTAAGCAAATCCATGATGGCATATGCACTAAAAACTAAGTGTGTTGGCACGTAATTCTACTTCCTGCAAAATTTCCTTGATAATCCATAATGGGCGCGCAAAGTTTAAATTATGTATACCATATTAAACACCAATATTTTTCAACAAACAGCAGGATGAGAACATATTGCAAAGTCACTTCGTTATAAATATCTTGTACTGCTGTCGTTAAAGAGTACAACACTGAAAAAACATGGGATTTTGAATTTGATGCATAAATGTTTTCACAAATATTGGACACCGGACATCAAACATCAGTACATTGTAATCCTAACACAAACATCGAACAAAAACATTCATATCAGATGTATCTAGCATGAAGAGGTCTAAGACATTGAACACACGAAATTGAATGACCAGCTTTCTACGCATTTGAACTTCAAGTGGATCTGAAGTATGAATGATGCTGCTATATCAAGTACAGGATGCACTAAAATGAAATATAGTCCGCAGGCTAACTAAGTTATCGCCTTAAGGTTTCCATTTAGCATGTGGTTTTACCTCCATAGCAGCATCTAGCTGCAAGAGGACTGGCACTGGTCCTATGAAAGCTGGTGTTATGGCTCCTGCTCTTTCACGAGTTTTGTGGTCCAAAACTTCCAACTTGAATAGGAGGACCTCCAACCTGTGATAGGACTTCAATTAAAATATAGAAAAAATGGCACAAATGATAAAAAATAATTGACAAACTGTTATTTTTGCACAAAATTAATTGAGCGGACAAAAGGAAGTTGAAATATGATTTGCCCTCACCCCCCCCAAAAAAAAAAAAAAAATACCAGCACACGCCATACCAATATTACGTAGTCACTAAGAATATTCTAAATGGTACAGCTGTACAAGTGTTAACTAAACTTCAGAAGCAAAACAGACCTATTCTCCTTCCATTTCACAATATGCCTCTGTAACCACCGTATCAAAAACCAAGGAAGCAATGACAAGTTGCAATCACTTAACGTCTTTTGTATTCTCAAGTAGGGCCAGAGAGCAGAAACATAGCAATAAATACGCTCTAGCCGACCTCAATTGACTAATATTTAAAATAGCCTGAAAACATATACTCCCTCCATTCCAAATTATAAGACGTTTTGGCTTTTTTAGATATGCGCTATGTCTAAATGCATAGTAAAAGCAATGTATCTAGAAAAGCCAAAACGTCTTATAATTTGGAATGAAGGGAGTAGTTCTAAACTCTCAAGTTCGTTCTAATATTCTATGCACATGGTGCATACTCTAACCACAACTTAAATTCCAGCCTTAGGTCCTTCAACAAGTCAACCAATTTATTTTAGACAATGCATTTCTTAGTTTATATATATTCTTAAGTTATCTAGATCAATAGTGTTCTCTTACTTTTCAGGGTTTATATTCTTCCGCTCGTTATTGAATTCTTCAAGCCAGTCCTCATCTTCATTGTCCAGGTCATACTCGACAAATTCACCGATGTCAGCTCTGGCTGCAGATATTGATCACTCTTAGTAATAAACCTAGTAAACATAACAGTGTAAGTTTAACAAGGAAAGAATGCATCCCCAGGGAAGTAACAAGAAAGAAACCTCCTCTTCCACGTATATAAGATGTCGGTTGTGCAAAGGTACGAGTATAGTCCCTTTCATATGTGTCCACAGCATCAAACTGCGGTGTAGGTATTTCTTGGGCATTTTTCTTACTGGGTGCTTGATTTCCCTGCAGAGTAAAGTGATATAATTCCTTTGTCCAGCATCCTTTGAAACATATAGTAGCAGTCCAATAGATGTACCAAGAACATATTGGTTTAGGTGAGGGAGTTAGAGAAGCCCACATCAGACTATGTTTTCTTGTAATAGTGGAATAGCCCATACAATAATTTAAAATGATCAGAAATATATACTCTCAGATAAACTTAGCAAAGCAATGATTTTGAATTCTTCTAAGGACAAGACATTTTTTTAAGAAAAAGGGTACAATAGGAAAAATCACTATGGTTTCAATCAGGCAGAGACAAAAAATTTAATATTGTTGGAAATCTGCACCAACAAATTACTATACAATATCTGAACTACTGTCCAAAAAATAACAACCAGTTTGTATCCAAATTCCAGACAAGAGAACCAGGCAATGAGTTCAAAATAGATTAATTGATAAAGGCTTGCCCTCTTATAAATGAGTTGTACACAAATGAAAGTATTAACAGCAACAACTTCATTAAGCGACTCTTCAGACCTCAAGGTGAGTGGTATTGATAGGTTCATAAAGAAATGAATATGACAAGCTATTATAGGATACAGCATGTATTATTCCTCCAGAAAAGCTTTATTTCTAGCTAATTTTAACATAAGGCCATGTTTGGTTCCCAAGAATTGAGAGGAATTGGAAAGTAATCTAATAATGAAGTGGGAAGCACCTTCTAGATATTGGTTTCAATTCATGGGATCCAAACAGGTCCTAAGAGATACTTTGTTACATTGTCCACATAATTTTAGCCACAACATGCTAGTAAACTTCATTTGACATGTCCAAACATTACTAGGATTTGAATGATTCCATGATATTACAACCTGCTGTCTAACCCAAGTCCTCTTCATTTCACATTTTCACAATAGCCACCAAGACAACAACTACAAGAAACAGTACAGACACATGTGGCACATAACAGAAAGCTTAGTTGGTGAAATGGGGATTCAAGCACAGAAGAAAGCTCAATTCATGTCACTTCAACCTAGAAACAAACTCAATGAGCCTATAAGCTCCAACATTTAACATTGCTGAAGCTCAAACTCAAGCAGCAGGACCAAAATACCTCGCCCTCTGTGGCGTTGTTCGCCCCAGACGCGGTGAGATCAGCTCCTGAGTGCCGCAGCAGCACCCCAGCCCTCGCAGAGGAAAGCGGCGCGACCCCTGGCTCGTCATCCTCGAACTCCCGCACAGATTTGAGGATGGGGAGCTTCTTGTGGATGTCGAGCGGCCGCGGCCTGAACGAGAGCCTACTCATAGTTCCCACCACTACCGCCGCCGCTGCAACCTCATCTCATCTCCGCCCACCACCTCCTCGCCCAACCACCCGCCCGCACCGGCTCGCCCAAGGCAGTGAACGAACGAGCAGCTCGGGCCCGGGAGAAACCCTAGGTCCACGAGGGCCGAGTGGCAGGGCCGGGCGCACCGGGCCGCGGGAGCCGCGAGGGATGCCGCGGAGCGGTGGGTGACGCTGAGGGGAGGCGGCGGGGGAGCTAGGGTTAGGGTTTTGAGCGGGGAATCGGGCTCTTAGGGTTTGAAAGGAAATGGAAGCGAGGGAAGAGGACGCGAGGAGGAAGAAAGAGGCAGGGCGTCGAGCCGAGGGGAGGGATTGGGAGCCAGGTCGGGCTCGAGGCGGCAGTTGAGTACGTGTACGTATCCGTATGGGCGTAGACGGTATGTGTACGTATACGTACTTACATTTGTATTTTCGTACTATACTTGTAGTAGGTTTATATATATTTATTAGAAGAAATTTTCTAAAAATAACTTGGCCCGCAAATGTTGCAATAGTTGACCAATTTGGTCATTTGTATTTTTGCTGGCCGGGTCAATAGTTGAGAGCATGTACTAGTTAGAGATATTAATAATTAAATTAAATTTATTATACAAAGTTGTTGAATATGAGACGGACGATGTATCCCTAATTTCTCTCACGCACGTCAATCTATAATTTTTTAAATTGTAAAAGTGAACTCGAATGTACTACTTATGTCCCTTTAATTCTTTTATTATGTCTACCACTTTAAACTTTTAAAAATGTTGTCAACTTTTATTTTCAAACTTTATAATTAAATTACTAAAATGTAATTTTCACAAAGATATCCCATTATAATATCAGACTTGTGAACATGCAAACTTCAATTAAAAGATTCTTAAAAATTATGCTTTTTATCTTAATAAATTAAAATGAGGTCCAAAATTTTGTTTTAGTTTAGTGATAAAAAAAATATATCTCTAACATGTTGTTTCGTTTCTAATTGTTAAGTTTCTTCTATTCTATAATTTGCTCACTTAATAGCCAAGAAATATATATATATATAATCCGATTTATCAACCAAACCATTGGATTTTAATTAGGTTTGGCTCATTTTTAATTCAATTAAATCAGATAAATCCTATATTAGGTGTATTAAAGTTTTAGTCTAGTGTTAGATTAAATGTTGCCTCAACTCAAATAGATGGTTTGTGTGTACACATATAATGAGGCTAAGAACATCTTCAGTTGTCCCCCTTTCCTAACCCCAATGAGAAAAAAACTGTTATTTTGGAGATCTCGTAGCTCCAGCAGTTCCTCGAACCCAACCCTAATGAGAAATTTTTTTTCTCAATTCCTCATAGCATCTCACCCCTTAAATAAAGGGGAGACCTCTCCTCCTCTAATACACTATTTTTCTCATTGGGGATTGGATTTTCTCGTTCTGGTGGAGAGAAGACCTTCAAAATCTTAAAACACGTTTTGTATCTCTCCCAATAAGTAGTTTTTGGTTGGAGTTTTCTCCTACTGCTGAAGATGCTCTAGGACAGGTAAAGAGCATACAACAAGCACGCAGCTTAGCCATACTGTGAGCATGACATGCATAGGCATAGGCCACATCTCGACATGATGTGGTGCGAGATAGGCTGGGTTTTGCCACTTGTACCTCCGGGTGCCGCCCCATTCGCACGTCAAAGGGATCTGCAATCTCCTTGTATCACACCTTTTGGTTTTCCTCTATAGGGGGCGCGTCAAAGGTGACCAAAAGGGTCACCTTTAGCGGTTGAAGGATTTCCATCTTCCATGACGTGTTGGCACTCGCCGCACGATACATAGGGCAGATCTAGTCAGCGAAGGACTCCACCCGTCGAAGGTCCTATCGTTGTCGCGGTCTGACCGAAAGAGCCCAGATGCATAAGATGCCATCGCCATAGGCCAACTGTGTCATCACGGAAGAGAGTTGTTGAGCCTTGGGCACTAAAGGACCAGATTGCCCTTGAATATGCTGGGAATGTGCTCGGCGTGCTGTATAACACTGAATGACGAATGATTACCATCTCCCTTATATTTCACTCCTCGCGCATTTCTACTTTCTTGTTCATTGTCTAGGATCGACAAGGGACCCTCGACTTGCCTTTAGGGGTCCTTGCGGCAATGAGCATCCCGACAAATTGATGCCGTTCATGGGGACCCTATCGCACCACCAGTGGCTTGAAGAGTAGCTTCGAGGCAACCCCCTCTAGGAGATCCACAAGCTTCGCATCCACCTCTGCCCCCACCTCTCGACCCAACTACAAACATAGTATCTTTGCTCCGACCAAACCCAATCCCTAGGAGGGACTGGCCTCCGAAGAAGACCATCAAGCAGCAGCCATGGCTCAACCCTCGTCATGAGCCAATGATGATGACCTAGCCGACTCCCAAGACCAAGATGGCGAAGAAACCCCTCGAGGAAAACGAATTAACAGAGTTAAACCAACTCTATCCGAGCTCAACTAGAAGAAGCATAGGATCAACGCTATCCAAAGGAATAACTAGATTGAGGATATTAGGAGGCAGAAGGCCAAACTACAGAACACACTAAGAAGAAAGGATGAGTACATCGCCACTCATGAAGGTAACCCGGTCGAGGACTAGCTGCTTGATGACCAAGATGCTCAGGCAAACCCGCTCCAACCATTGAGAAACCTCCAACAACAGCCTCAACCCAACCTAGCAAACTTACGCCATCAACTACAACAACACCCACACCATCCAATACCTTATGACTCAAGATTGCCACTCTCGAAGGATGTCTAAAGGTAAAGGTGTATGTCAAGCTATAATCCCAATACCTACCAAGATATGATGGCAACTCTGACCCTAGGTAGTTTGTCGTGAGCTACGAGGCAGCCATCGCCACAACCGAAGGCAATGAGGCAATCTAGGCCAAGTCATTCCTCGTTGTAGATCGAGACATCGCTCAAAGCTAGTACCCAACCTCCAACAGGGCTCCATTATAGGAATAGCACAACAAATCAGATAATTGTTGCGAGAAATATTGTGAAAGCTTGTTTCAAGGCACTAGAAAACCGATTGCTCTGAGGGGCGCTAACCTTCTGCGGTATGTCTAGGACCTCATCAATCTAGTCAGGAGATTAGGACGTTCAGCTGGTCTAGGACACTTTCTAGGATGAGGATGTGAAAGCAATATTGGCGCTACCGGTTAATACAGAGAGAGAGAATATTTTGGCCTGGCACTATGATAACAAAGGGATATTCTCGGTCAAAAGTGCTTACAAGGTATGCAGGACAAGTTTCCTACTTAGGGCTGGGGCATCCAGTTCAAGTTCGGCCAATGATGGGGAGGATTTGTGGAAGCGGATATGGAAGATGGAATGCCCAAATAAATTCAAGCATTTCCTCTGGTGAGCTGCTCATAATAGTCATCCTCTCAGGACTAACTTGGAAGCCCGAGGATTGGACATTGATAATCCCTTTGTCGTTTGCAATGAGAAAGGTGAAGATGGTGCCCACTTATTTTTCAAATGCTGTAGAGTGATGAAAATATGGGCAGAGCTGGATATGTCAATACACCGAGATCACTTAGTAGGTGTTGTTTTGGCCTAGGAAGCTGTCAGATACATTATGGGATTACCAAAACTCTCTCAGCTGACGTTGGTGATCGGGATGTGGGCGTGGTGGTCGAAGCAAAACAGAATCAGGAAGAAGGCAAATGATGACCAGACCATGTCATCGTCAAGCTGATAGAGGGCTATTTGGGTGAACTTGCTCAGCTGTGTGCAAAGACTGCCAGAATAATGCCAAGGACAATTTAGAGATGGCAGAAACCAACGCCTAATTTCCAAAATATCAACTGTGATGCATCTTCCGCAAGGAGACTAGAGAGGGCGGCTGGGGCTTTATAATTCAAGATGAAGATGGTGACATGATCACAGCTGGAAGGGGTCAACTGGCTCATATTCTAGATCCATTAGAAGCTAAAGTAGTCGCATGTTTACAAGGGCTATAGACAACGATTGGTTTGGGTATAACCAGAGTCCATCTGGAAACTAATGCCTTGCAAGTCCAGCAAGCAGTCGAGTCGCAGCGATGGGACTTTTCCATGGCCGGAGGTCTGATAAGCAAGATCAAGGAGCTAGCCACTGTTGCATGCTCTCTAGCCTCTATATATGGTGGCGTTTGCATTCTGCACCACACAGTCATAGAACTGCTCAGCTCTTGTGCACCAGCAAGCTAGCCACTCGATCGCATAAGTTTTCCCACCACCATCCACCTGGGCAGCTGTCGTCGACGCCATGGTGGGGCGTGCGCGTGGCAAGTGGGGCGACGCCGAGACCGCCAAGCTCATCGAGGCGTGGGAGCCGATCTACAAGCGCCGCCTGTTAGACAAAATCTGCTGCTCCCAATTTCTCCTTGGTTGGAGACTGGTCGGCTCGACCGACCACTCCCTATTGGGAGTTGGGGACTGATCAGCTCTGCCAACCAGTTCCTGTAGCTATAGCAGTATTACAATAGGCCACCTCTAGTACATTAGTTGGTAGTTATTACATTAGCCATGACTTGATAGTGGGCTGAGGTAAGCTTTGTACTGCTAAGAGTAGTTGGTATACTCTGTACCTTAGGAGTAGGTAGTTGGTGTACCCTATACCTAAGGAGTAGGAAGTTGGTGTACTCTTATACTTAGGAGTAGGTAGTTAGCCAACAACTATGTACCTGGTAAAGGTACAGCTAGAGTTGTATATATTCCATCCAAAGGGCAATGGAATACTCAGTTCAATTGCCATAAACTAAAGGACAGGGCTTCGGCCAACGCTGGTGCTTGTGCTGAGTGGTGTGTGCACTGTTCTCAATCTCTTATTCTACCTCTAGCCATAGTGAGTGAGTGTGTGTGCTGGTAAGCTAGTTGCTTACCTGTGCAGGGCAGCCAGGGATCGACAAGTGGTATCAGAACCATACAAGTGTCGTGGCCAGACTAACCACTGGCGATGACAGACGATTTG